ACCAGTTAAATCTGATACAGAAAATCTAGCATACGTTTCAATACATAACTTTGACAGAATGTACTGGATGAAAAAGTCCTATGCTTATCCCACAGAACGTACTAAAAACAACAAATCCTGAAAATTTTAGCTCAATTGAATAAATGCTTCTCAAGATATCTTTTCTAGAAGGCGATAATAACTCGTTTTGAGAAAACGAGCTTTAAACTTACAGTAACAGTACTTGTCAAAATAAAACTTCAATACCTTAAGATTCGAGTTCCGTAAAAAACAAAACTTCGAATTTCTTTCAGAATTTTAGGTTAAGTCCCGCCTTAAGTGTGGTGCATTTATCCACGTGGGACACACTTATCCAAGAGTGGCACATTTTCTTAAGTGTGGCGCATTTATCCAAGTGTGCGGCATTTTGTTAGGTGTGGTGCATTTATCAACGTGAAACGCATTTTGTGCCGCAGTTTTCCAAGTGTGGCGCATGTTTCCAGGTGTGTCGCATTTTTACAAGTGTGGCGCATTTTTCCAGGTGTGCCGCATTTTCCCAAGTGTACCGCAGTTTCTTAAGTGTGGGGCATTTATCCATGTGTGCCGCATTTTTCTTAAGTGTGGCGCATTTTTCCAAGCGTGCCGCATTTTCTTAAGTGTGGCGCATTTTTCCAAGTGTGCCGCATTTTTTTCAGTGTGGCGCATATTTCCAAGTGTGCCGCATTTTCTTAAATGTGGCGCATTATTTTAAGTGTGGCGCATTTTCTTAAGTGTGGCGCATTTATCCACGTGAGGCACATTTATCCAAGTGTGGTGCATTTTCTTAAGTGTGATGCATTTTTTTAAGCGTGGCACATTTTTTCAAGTGTGCCGCATTTTCTTAAGTGTGGCGCATTTTTTTAAGTGTGGCGCATGTTTCCAGGTGTGCCGCATTTTTCCAAGTGTCCGCATTTTCTTTAATGTGGCGCATTTTCTTAAGTGTGGCGCATTTTCTTAAGTGTGATGCATTTATCCACGTGAGGCGCATTTATCCAGGTGTGGCGCATTTTCTTAAATGTGGCGCATTTTCCCAAGTGTGCTGCATTTTCTTAAGTGTGGCGCATTTATCCACGTGAGGCGCATTTATCCAAGTGTGGCGCACTTTTCCAGCTGTGGTGCTAGTATCCAAATGTGGCGCCTTTATCCAAGTGACTTGAAAAAGGTTTCATTGAAATGAAAAATTATTAAAAATTTTTTTATTATGGCTTTATTTGATTTTTATTGGACTTAATAAGGCACAGAACTAAACTTTGGCCTAAGGTTAGGCAGCTATGAAAGGTTTGCTAAGACGGGGAGTCGGAAATCCTTAGAATAGTTATAAGGTATGGAGACGCCAATCTGTTTCAGGTCTTAAAATATTTCTTAATCCATATTGGTTAAAGCAAAATTAGTTTGCCAGTAACACCTATATTGTTGTTTGACGTATTTAGCTATTAAATTTCCTAACCTTGTCAAGGAGTCCCCCGGTAGCCCAATGGGTTACGCGTCTGACCTGCTGTGCGGTCGGAAGGGCATATATGCGCTCGACACCAGTCGGGGAACTCCGCTTTTTTCCTTTTTTTCTGTTTTCGTTCAACTGAAAAGATATTTTTTTTGTACAATCCTCTTTTCTTCCGTTTGAAGTAAGTTTTCTGTGAAAATCCTTTTTAATAACGGGTATAGACTTTAAGCTTCCGTAAAATGCCTAACTAGTTATGCCTTCATTCTTTTTAAGCGCTAAAAATTACCTACTAACCAACATGAAGATACCAGAGCCAATGGAACACCAAACGTCTCAAACACGATAACAATGGGGTGAAAGGCCTGCACAACTCCCATCCACGTGTGATAGCCGATTAAAGCTTTGCTCTAACGAGTATATCCTTTAGAGATCTGCCCCTTTTGTACGAGACAATAGGGGGATCTTTGAATATTCTTCTAAGCAATGGTTGTTGAATTAAATGCCAGTTCTGCATAAGTATTTGCTTTAAGTCAGGCACTGATGGGCGATATTGTGTGACAAAAGGCAAGATTCGCCTGTCTTGTTTACGTTTCTGTTGTAGGGCAGCTTTTCTCTCCTCAAATGTAATTTCTGCGAGAGTTGTTGAAACAAGAGTTTCAGGATACCCTCTTTCGATGAGATTTGTTTTAAATTGTGAATGCTGTTTCAGAGGAGTTGGTTCGGAGAAGTCTGAATGCTTCGCCCTTGATGAAGCCCTTTGTGGCGCATTTTTCCAAGTGTGCAGCATTTTTTTAACTGTGGCACATTTTTCCAAGTGTGCCGCATTTTCTTAAGTGTGGCGCATCTTTCCCAGTGTGGCGCATATTTCCAGGTGTGGCGCATTTTTCCAAGTGTACCGCATTTCCTTAAGGGTGGCGCATTTATCGAAGTGTGCCGCATTTTCTTAAATGTGGCGCATTTTTTCAAGTGTTCCGCATTTTCTCAAGTGTGGCGCATTTATCCACTTGAGGCGCATTTATCCAAGTGCGGCGTATTTTCTTAAGTGTGGCGCATTTTTCCAAGTGTGCCGCATTTTTTTAAATGTGGCGCATTTTTCCAAGTGTGCCGCATTCTCTTAAATGTGGCGCATTTTACCAAGTGTGGCAAATTTTCTTAAGTATCGCGCATTTATACACGTGAGGCGCATTTATCCAAGTGTGGCGCATTTTCTTAAGTGTGGCGCATTTTTCCAAGTGTGCCGCATTTTTTTAACTGTGGCACATTTTTCCAAGTGTGCCGCAATTTCTTAAGTGTGGCGCATTTTTCCAAGTTTGGCGCATTTTTCCAAGTGTGCCGCATTTTCTTAAGCGTGACGCATTTTCTTGAATGTGGCGCATTTTTCCAAGTTCGATTTTCCGAGTTGACCTAAGCCTCTCTATCAAAGCGAGGCCCGGTACAAAACCATTAAGATGAAACTGAGTTTAATTTTCATGTGAATGAAATCTCATTTTCATATGAAAGGTGGGCTTGAAGACTCGCTTTGGGAAAGAGGCTTAACGTAATTCGGAAATGGCCCGTTGCCTTTATAGCACACAGAAGTACCTCTGTCCTATTTGAAGTGTGGTTGCGTGCAAGACAAAAATCAATCAATTTCGAAAATAGTGAAAATGAGAGCGACTATTGCACAATTGTAGAAGTGTAACATTTCATTTCAAAATACCGTCCAAAATCCTAGTGTTTGATGGGTATGTACATCTTTGGCAATAGACCACGTTCGATATAGTAAATTTTCTAACATGGCTCCGAGGCTTTCAGGACAAACATATAAATTTTGTGGTGTTTCTTCTCTTTTGGGAATTGTGAGACAAAAGAGACTTAAAAAAAATTGCAATTTAGACCCGAGAGCCTCGGATCCATTTCAGAACTGATTGATATATCGAACGTGGCCTACTACACATACACGTGCCGTATCTATGAAAGTTCAAATTTAGCCGAAAGTTTGACTTGTTTAGCGACTATAGAGGGAAGGCTCTTCATATTAACAAGCATCGCGGTAAACGTTTTTACCCTTCAAAAACGCCAATCTTGCACATCAGATAAAGAGCCTTCCACACTGTAAAAAGTGTTCAACAAAAACTCTACTTTACTAATTTAGATGCCAAAGTTCAAAGGAATATGTAAAACACACAAGCAGACAAGGTGCAAAAAAAAATTTGGCAAACAAGGTAAAGTTATAGTGCAGTTTATTGTAATATTTGCTATCTCTTATGAACAATAAGCAACACAGCAATCGTTATCAGAGTCTAGTAAAGCGCAGTCTGCAAGTCCAACAGATGATACCATGTTACTCTGAGGATGGCGCGATCTGAACAAACTGACTCCTTCCCAAACCCTGACTTATTATCTCGTTGTGTACACTATCAAATTTCTTTATTTTCCTTTATTTTTTCTCTTATTATTTCTTTTAGCTAAAGTAGATAATACTCTTAAAGTAATAGTACCTCACCCAGAATAGCTTTGCTAGCTGTGAGCTACTAAGGCTTATAAACCTATTATGTACCCGGCAACAAAAGCTACTTGTTACTTGTTACTATGTTAACATTGCCGATTGCCCTGATGAACATTCACTCTGCCCAGAGACTAGTTCATAGTATCTTGACTCTGCTCTTTGACTTCAGTAAGACCGCACGATTTTTACAAAACCAGTGCGATAGATATATGTACTAAAAACTACATTGTCTCGACCTTTGTCTCAAACTAATGCCGCTACCTTGCAGCGACAAGTACCAATTTGAATGTAATTTTGTCGCGGGAATTTTGCACGTCTAAAAATTACTTAAAATATTGTCAAAAATCTAGTTCAAAGCGGAGCTGATACTTTTTCATAGCTACAATCAGTGGCACAAGACAACAGATGAAATTCTGTCTCCGTTCACAGGTTGCAATGTCGTTGAAGTCGCTGTTTAAATAGGCCTAAATAGTTTTCTGTTTGCTGTATTCCTTCGTGTAATATAATTTCTATTTTGAAATTATAATAAAATTTAATCTGCCACATTGCTAGCCCTCTATACTATCTGTTGTGTCTCTTCCTATATCAAATTTTTTCGACAGTCCAAATGTTTTTCGTAGCTCAAATCTCCGATTGTCCAAGATAGGTCTCGCTTCTTAGGGTGCGTTGGTAATAGAATCACTGTAGTTTTAATTTGGTTTTGGACACCAAGGAACCTGTTATCCAGAGAAACGCAGATCCAACGAAGATCCCTCTGATCACACCGATGTAGCCAGTGGGAAGAACTGAAAGCATAAAAAAAAGGGACGTTAACAATTATTCTCTTTTCTTCCCCACCCTTAAGATTAAAATTAAAAAAAAGAGACACGTCTGAGCGATCATAGTGACACAAAACTGCTGGCAATTAACTCCGGTTTTTCGTAGCGCGAGTATTGCTTGTCTCCCTGGATGTAATGGCATTGCATGTAACCCCTGGTTGCCTTACAGTTTACAGGTGGAGAGGAGGTAATGTGAGAGTAAAGTGCCTTGCCCAGCCCTGAACAAAACATAATGACTCTGACCTCTCCTCTATCCTCGACTGCTCGATCTGGAGTTCAACCAGCTAAGACATCTAAAAGACATAGCTCCGCCATGCGTGCGTGCAGATCGCATTGCAATATCGATTCCCCCATAGAGATATCTAATGAGTATCTCAAGAAATCCTCCGACCAGTAATTTAACTTCTCGTTGAAAACAATTTTTTAAGCAAGACCGATGTACCCTCTAGATATCTTAAAACTGCATTATAACTTCATGCTAAGCTGCAAAAGGTAGACTACTCAAAAGCGTGTCAACCATAGTTAGGAGCACTGACGTCTGGTGCGACAGCAAGTAGAGGCTGGGAAGAACTGGAAATGAGGTGACCGTGGCTTAGGCCAGACAATTAAAATAGGAATCAATAATTCTTCGACCAAAAAGCTCTTTTCCCTTAAAATGCGTTACAGCAAAAATTCTGTGTTGTTATTTACCTCCAGTTTCCAGATTTTGAGACGAAAGCACAAGGTCCACAATCAGGAAAAGAAGACAGCGGAATAACTCCATGTATGGGGTATACCACCTTGGAAGAAAATAAAAGAAAAGGAAACAGAAACAGATATTAAACGATTAGACGTAATAGCAAAAAAGGAACTAAATCCAACTTTCTTTCCAATTTTTATCGCTAATACAACACATTAAATAAAATGCTGCATATTTAACAAACACCTAGAGTAACGAACCATCACACTTGCTGGACAACTTCATGCATTAATTCACTAGCCAAAACACCAAGCCAGCGCTCTGTGGGCCAATACAGATTTGAGTCTGATAAGCCATGAGCACCACTGCTTTACCGCATGAATTCAAGTTAATTCATCAGTATATTTCGATGATTTTAGTTTCAAGAAAACTAAACATGAATACACAATAAATTATCTTCTCCTGCACGCAACAGCTATGATGTCAATGGAATGCCACCAGTGCACTCCTGTATTACTTCAGATTTGATCTTATAATCATTCCAAGCTGTAGTAATTTAAAACTTACTTGTTATCAAAGAGAGCTCCAATACTTGAAATGGTGAAAATAAAATAAGAAATGACACCAAGAACATTAAGTTGGCTCATTACCTGAAGAGCAAAAAAAGAAAGTTGTGGAATCTTAGTGCACTTTCAAATTCATCAATTCACAGGACCCTGCTTATTTCTCAAGTAATTAAGGTTACATAATTATATTAAAGATCAGAAGCATCTTTTAATTAAAACCTACCATTCTTCTTGCAATCAGAAGCTGATATGCAACAATGGCAACAGCAAAATGCACAAGAACATACAAGTTTCCCCAGTATGTCAAGGAGCTGTCATATTTCTGAATAGGATACTCGATCTACAATAGAAAGAAATCAGAGTCAATATTCATGCTACACTGCTACAGCAAAAAAATTGTCATAATAATCTTGCCTTAATTTAAATGTAACATGCCAAAAGTAGAAACTATGTATATCTGCTTCAATATGTTCAAAGCAAGCTCAAATCTGTTCACCCTAAATAGCATGTGCAACGTGCCTGCATGAAGAAAATAATTATGCACAAAGCATAAATAGGAGCGACGTTTAAGCCACACATTCTTGTTTTCCTGCTCAAATGTATCATCTTGCCACTGCAATTTGCACATTACATTAACTCTTGAGCCTCTACGTGACTAAATACCTCTGGCAGATCTGCAGGATCACCCAAACGAGGCATTCCTGGTGTCCATCCAGGACCTTTGAATAGCACAGACAGCTGCCAGAAGAAGTAAATATTTCATTTAGTTATTGAAACAATATTAATAAATTATGTTATACGAATTTACTAACGACTGTCATTTTTTTGTGAGGAAGAAAAAAAAACATTTGGGGATTGGAAAATGTGCTGCCTCTTTACTGATAGCAATATTCACTTATAAGCAATTTAATACAATAATTAGATTGTACAACGATCAGTAATTAGTATAAATCTACTAGCATTCTATCACGAATGCTGTTCTCTGATTGGCTACGCTACTCACTATCTATTCGGTGATAGATAGTGAGTAGCGTAGCAGTGTGCCCTTGTTAACAAAATGACGGCCACTTCTTGGCGTTTTCGAATTGTCTATGAAGAGGATTTAGATAATGTTTTGGACAACTAGTAGATTTATACTAAAACAATTAGATAATAAACTTGAACTTGAACTTGAATTTGAACTTATTCACTCTCGATTTCTATGCATGATAGTTGACTCAGGCTGCACCCTCATCAACTATCATGCGATAGAAATCTTGAGCTCATAATCTAATCAATTGTTTGTTCTCAAGCCTGGATAGAAACGGTAGCAAAAGAGGAACATTAAAGGCTGATTCCCTGGAGGGGACTCCATTGTTTAACACAATGAGTATGCTTGTCAGAAATTTGAAAAATACACTTAAAATGAACCAAAAATCTATCTTTTTTCCGGGGGGGGGGAGTGTTAATGGCTGAAGTTAATTTTCCCCTGCTTCCAGATGCTTATTTACTGGTCAAGTGACAAGGGCTGCCAAAAGTCGCATCCAGAAATAAAAAAAGGAATACAATATAAACTTCTCATTGGCACAACTACATAGAGCTCCAGAGACTTTGTGGCTTGCTTTGTAAAAAGGCCGTGGCAAACAAGAACATTTAAAATGGTACACTCTGAGCACTGTATCATTTTCAAACATCATTTTCAGACTTTAAAGGCTTGAAGTCCCCTCCCTTGGGAGTCCCTGCTCTCCAGAGTGAATTACAATTTACCTTGTCGTTCAGTCCAGGTGTTTCCCAAAAGGTTTTCCAAATGTGGGAGAAGTGACAAAGCTGTGGAAGGTTTCAGACAGTATAATAAATATACATCTTGAAAACTTGTGAAGCACAATTAATACAGAAGTGCTTACATGCCATCATAAATATTTCTAATGGAATCTAATGGAACATGCCCAGCACATTGCCAAGTTGTATATTAAGCAACTGGGCAAGATTTTGTAAAAAGAAAAGAGCAGTGTATTTAAAAGTCCATTAGACTGCTGCACTTCAGTAGCAGCTATTGCAGTTTTATTTGGAAGCAATTGACTAATAATATCACTAACATAAAAATAGTGATCTTGAGAAGCTAATGTGTGAAAAGCAATCATTGCATGCATTTTGTATCTTACTGAAATGTTATTAACAATGATCTAACCTGAGCCCAAATGGGGTCCCAGCTAGCCAGTGGATGAACCAGACCATAAGCTATTTCTTCATCTGTTTCAGCCTGAAAAGTTCCTATCATAAAGTAAAAATGTCATTAAATTTAAAAATAATTTGTAAACCTCTGTAACCTGTGTGCTTGGCATTAAAAGAATTACATAGTCATAGATCTCTCTCTCTCTCTCTCTCTCTCTCTCTCTCTGACTAAACAGGGCACTCTCTCTAAAGTGACAGCTTCTTTAAGCAAACCCCAGTCTTCATCTCACAGGTTGGTGGTGTCTTGTTTGAGAGCTAACTATAGATCAATCTTTATGAGCAAAAATATATGATGAACATTAGAATCCTACAGGGCCCACATAGAAAATAGCATGTTTGGAAGAGAGGGGTGGGGTGAAGAAACAGCTGAAAAGGATGCCATGATAACTTTTGGTCTTTGGGAAAGAACATGAATCATGCACAGCATATGAATGCTTACTAATGACTTACCAAACATTCTGTCCCAGATTATCAATGTTCCACCTAAAATTTGGATATGTGAAAAAATAATG